ACTGGGACGGACAGGGATGGGTGGGGACAGACAGGTGGTCTCTTACGGCACCCTCCCCAACCAGAGGTCCCTTCGGCAGGGGTCTGGTTAGCAACACCGTCGGGAGCGACGCGCGGATGGACGTGGACACGATGCCGAGCCAAGGCAGTGAACATGGTGGCAGGGTACGCAGACAGTCGCCGTACAGATCATTTGGGGACCGCGTGAACTACCTGACGAGCGCGGAGAAACTCGCCCTGTTGCAGAAACACAACGAACTGAGGGGAAGGGTGCAACCCTACGCCTCCAACATGGAAGAGATGGTGAGTCACTTGTGATTTTGATATTTGTCATGCGCATGCTTTTTTGACAAATTGTGGCGTAGTCCTTGGTTGTTTCGGAAGATGAAATGGTCGACAAAACGCCTACTTCTCACCGGTTTGTTAAACCCAGTGGGCGACCAGAACGCACCCGTTTGTCACGTTGCTGTTGCTCCAAACGTGACATAGTTTGTGGCATGCAAGTTTGGCTCTTAGCCTGCGATTTTTCCCCTAGAGTAAGGCAGGATAAAGGCGATGTCCATTACGAAAGTCGCTGTACAAACATGAACGGACATCAGGAGAAATAGCACCCTTAACCAAATCAGATGTTTCGACACGCGGTAGTGAGGTGCGGCGTCCATATGGGAGGAAGGGCGGAAGGGAGAGACAATGACGGTAACGCCAGTGACACCTCAACCGCTACCGGTAGTGGACTCATCGCATGTTTATTTATTTAGATCCTAGAGGCAAATCGTTAAGTCCGTCAGAATATCCTGATTCATTCCAGAGAAAAACTAATTCTAAAGTACGAGACATAATGAGAATTAAGCTGTTCTCCAACTCAAGAAAGTTGACTCACCGGAATTTTCGACCGAATCATTCGGTCTTCTTCAGCTTTATGACCTGAGTGCTGTGGACACGTGACTTTTACCCACGTGTGACGTCAGCACTGGGTCAAAGTTCGTCGGAAGTCGGTACCGCCCCTGTCCCGGTTGAGCGAAGGTTGGTATGCCCTGATGTAAATGGCTTCCTTCACTCCTTTCGTAAAGTAATCATGTTCCGTGTCCAGGATGTTCACCTCTTCCAGTGAGACAGTGTGGCCCGGTGATTCAATGTGACTTGGTTGTGATACCTCTGCAGATGTAGAGCTGGGACGCCTATGTTCCAGAAACCTGGTTTTTAATGAACGTTCAGTTTCACCTATGTAAGAGTCCTCTGTTAACGTTAGTCGAACCCTGGCACTTTATGTGATAGATGACCTCACAGTTTTCTTCCCTACCAACGTTAACTCAGATGAACTTTCATACTAATTCTAAAGTAGTTTTTCAGATCCAATTCATTTCAAAAGGACCATTGCGCTACCTTCACATTTAAGGTTCACCTGATGCCGTGTGGCCTGGGTCAGGTAATTTCGCTAAGTTGAGAAAAAAACAAGGTTTTGTGCCAAAGATCACAAAACTGATCCTTAGTCCAGATTTGTACGCCTTCGTGTTTGTCCAAGGAAAGTTCCGGCCATCATGTTCACTGCCAAACCACTTGGCATGCAGGGAATTTAGGAGAAACTTTAATGGATAAAACACCTTCAGCATTGATTACGTAAGAGTTATCCCATAGCGTAGCTTTTGGATAGCACATTGACATCGTTATTGGTCCTTTACAATCTAGCTCACGTGTTTCGACAATATATCAATATAGTTGCCAAGAAAGTTCGCCAAGAGGCCTGACTTTATGGCCCCGTACTATTTTCAAACGAAAAGTGTGACACGAAAACTGTTTTGAGTTAGCGAGCAAAATGATCCCCAAATGGTTCCCAAAGGAACGCTTTTATCCCCGGCCGCCGTCTTGTATCTACCTGTCAGTGCTTTCATCTGTTTAACGTCTGAAGTAACAGAGTTGTTTGTGAGAAAGGTGCCTGCTCCTTGCTCCGTCTTGTGAAGTCTGATCTGTTGATTCGGACCACACATGATCCTTTTTCAGCGTAGCGTCGCCTTTTGAAACCAATTTCTTCCAACCATCATTTATCGTATTATCGGAACACGACTTGGCTTTGTAGAAGAAAAGCCAATTCCATTCTAAGATGTAAAGATCCGGCTTCACACAGCATGAAATTAGCTCACCCCGACGAGTCTACGAGCCCTAAAGGATATTTTAGTCAGCAGTGCAGTCTGTATCCCCTCTCGTCTCCCCGATTTTTCAAGATATAGGCCTATGCTCGCAGAACACCAGGCCGCGTTCAGTGTGATGGAAAACAAAAATACGCTTGGTACTTGTGTCCGGAGAATCGCCACAGATTCACTTTAGAAGATGACGAAAGCAGAGCTGTGTTTTGATGTGCCAGCTGTGATCTCGTGCCGGCAGTGGATAAGACCTTGATCCTGTCGTTGTGTTAACAGCCGCGTGATGATGACATGCCCCAGCCCGTATCAAATCTGACACTGCACTGGCAATGTGAAGTGAGGGAGCCGTTAGAGGGAATTGTAGTGATCCCTTAATACACAATTCTAATGGACAATACTATTAATTAGTCTTTTATCGAAACTTAAAACCCATCTTTATCTTGTACAGCATATATGAAAACATGCTGTTTTGATACAACAGTCGTTAGTCTGTTTCGTATACAACACGAAGCGTTCATGACCATTGCGGCAATACGAAATACATAAAAGTGTCGCCCCCTCCCCTCTTACATCTTGGCGCACACGTGTGAGGATATAGAAACGACAGGCTTTAATCACTTGACCCGATAAAACGTTAAATCTCAGACGATATAGGTGTCTTACAACCGTGTAGATGTCCTTTTTTGCCCTTCAAGAAAAAGGGTTCACAACTTGAGGTGACATACCTAGTTTGAACACTAACCCTACCGTTGAGAACACCCCAGCTGCAAGAACTGCACATCGGTGACCCGATGTCAGATCCCCCATCAGTACCGAAAGGCACGGCGGCTTTAGCTCCATTAGGGACCACCAGGTTTGGTTTACTGAGTCGTTAGGATGAGCTGAACCAGCCATCCCTGGGAGGAACCCTCGTAATTGATGTGATTGGATTGAGACAAAAACTGTACTATAGAGCACAGGTTCCCGGAAACCACCGGCCGTGTGCGGCGTGGCGGGAGCTGGGCTCCTGTGTACATGACTTAACCTGCGATGACAACTGGAAAACATGTGCGGAGGGGTAACAAGTCAACTGCTACCGAAGTTCTTGTACAGCTGACATATGATGATGTGTCACACGTTGGAGCAGACAGCCAAAACAAACAGGTTAAAACTTGACGTGCATTGGACGAAAGATAGCTCCATACATTGTTTATGTTGACATTCATACCAGTGTATAGCATAATAAAGTTTGCACTGAGGAGTGTCTGATAGGTATACGGCGTGTTTTCATAGACACTGGAGGGTATGAATTATGTTCGATTTTTGACCTAGTGCAATTTGATTGTAGCCTCTACCAGGCTTCGGGAGGCGGCCGGAAAGAGTAGAATTTGGCCAAATAGAGAGATAGGGAGTTAGTCCGCTAGAGAGTCTAGCGGACCAACTCCCCTGCCATGTTATCTCCAATACCTTACTGACATGACGTTGATGTTCTGACCATGCACATTTCTGACATGACGTTGATGTTGTGACCGTACTACACCCGCAGGTTTGGGACGAGAAGCTGGCCATCAGTTCTCAGCAGTGGGCAGACCAGTGTATCTGGGAGCACGGACCGAGCTGGCTCCTGCCGCTGATCGGACAGAACCTGGCGGTCCACACGCGACTGGACAAACCGCTGGTCGAGCTGGTGCAGATGTGGTACGACGAGCATCACGACTTCACATACCCGAGCTACTGCAGAGGACCCATGTGCACCCATTACACACAGGTCTGTATTCTTCACCTAACACGCCCCTGATTAACATGGCTGGATGGTTTATGGTAGACCAAGGGCAGCATCGACGTTCTTGACGTTTGTTCTCCGATGCACATTTCTCCATCATTAATTTGTTCCAATATTGACTAACTTTGTCCGTAAAAATCTTTAAGATCAGAAACAAGAAACAGAAACGCATGGGATATGAAAGTACCGTACATACGCAAAATTTGAATAATGATAATGAAACACAGCTTGCCACGCGACATGTGATAGAATAATCTCTCGTATTTGTTTGTTTCACATCCAACCTTATCCAAGCGTGATTCAGCACATATATTACGTCACAATACTAACACTACATTATACCGGGTCTGCAGGTTGTCTGGTGTACTGACATCCCTGCTGACAGAGCAGCCTCTCACTCCACTGCACCCCTTCCCTTGTAACTCCTGTTCACCGGCACTGTGCGCCGCTTTGTTTCAGATGGCTTGGGCCACCACCACCAGGATGGGCTGCGCCATTACTCTTTGTGACACCATCGATGTTTGGGGTGACAGGTGGCCGCGAACTCTCTACCTCGCCTGCAACTACACGCCTAAGTATGAACCGGCATTTCTACACATTTTACCCTAACTCTTTTCTCCCTCCTAGGTGGCTTGACGAGCTGATGGCAGGTGGGGACGATATACTCTCTCTCCTCTCACTTGACTGGTTAGAGTTACCCTAATATCAGAGCCAGAATATCACAATGATGGAAACATTGGCCGACACTCTCCATTGCTACCGATGTAAAAGGCCCGCTATACACCTCTATCTTACCAAAATCGCTGTTTTCACTTACGACTGAACCTTCAACCTATTTGGGCCACACATCACGCAAAACATGTGGATTTCCACCCTATTATCTCGTCAGTTTTAGGTGACTCTGGCCATTCGAGCGAAACGAGTTGCAAAGTGCATGTGCCTGCGAACCGGCTTCGCGCCTCCCAACTTCTATAGGTCAACTGTCGGACAACTGACTCAATCCTCCTCAACTCTATCACTGACGAAAAACTCTCCCTCTCAGTTAATATAGCAACCTTATTCCCCCCTTTCTCTCATCTGTCTAACTGTTTTCCTCCCCAGATGGTCTGGGCTACTACTACCAAAGTGGGGTGCGCTATCCGGCTGTGTGAGACCATGCAGGTCTGGGGCGAAGAATGGCCCAAAACCCTTTACCTGGTCTGTGACTACTCATCAAAGTAAGCATGGGGACGGTGACTGTAAACTAGAGCTTCACTCCCTAGCCGCATACTCCCTCCCTCCTAGACGCGTTCACGATTTGAAGCAGCTAACTTCACGATCCACTTACATGTGTGTAGAATGGTACTCGTCTTGTAGGTCCATCCCATATTTGTGACAGACACACACAGCGCGCGCATGCGCACGCACACACACGCACACGCATGCACACACAAACTAACCCATCATCTGGAACATCCCTAACATCATGCTTAAACTTTCTAAGTGTAAAACCAGCTTGTTATATTGTTTACGATACCACATTCTGACATCCTTTCATGCTGATAGGCCTGTGTGTGTGAGTGAAAAGTGATAAGTACATGGGGCAGACATGGAGTTGACAGTTATTAACGTTATTAACCTAATTGTCGGGGTGTATGAAAGGTGATGACGTGAAAACTAGTTCGGTGCAGAAGATATGTGCGAGTGACTGCAGTGCGTGAAGGCACCCCAGCACACCGGGTCTGCTCACGGGCAGACGTACCGCAGTCAAATCCTCGCGGTGACGACTGCAAGTTGATTCACTAACCGTCACAGTTGTTGAACTAAGCTTTGGCACTCTACCTGCACAGAATTGGTGTTTGTATGTCGGAAAGTGACGAGTGCAAAGGTTACGAAAGGATGTATATTGAAGCCAGATGTACATGTCAGTATTAATTCCAATGGAAGGTTTGCAGGCACATGTGTGACATTGGTGTTGTGAAGTTTGTCCAAGTTTTTCTTTGACTTCTATCCATCTGTCAACGCTGGCGAAATGAACGAGATAGAGACATTCTTGGATTAGATAAGACAACAAAATATTTGCTACCTTGTTAGCGCTTACAAACAGGCACTGGCAAATCTTTAATCGTTCATTTTCATTGTCGTCATCATCGTTCATCATGTTCAAACATGAAGAGTGTGGTGAGATTCCTATGCTAATGAGCATTCTGCAGTAACTGTAAATTTTATTGCACAACACCGTTACAAGGTACAATATGTGGTATTCTCCGCTACATAACAACAACCATACTATGAGACGTATCTACTTTATAAAGGACTATGTAGTGTGGCATAAGAATGTACCTTTACAATTATTACGTAATTGGAAAAGCTCGAGTTAAGGCATGCGATGGTGTGGGCTATTCATCACCTGGTGCATACATGTAGTATCTCATCATACACGTTATACAGAAGTATCGCAAAGATTGGTGTCATGTTATCCAAGACTGGTGTTATACCACTGTGGAATTTAAATCAGGCATTGATAGCCATGGATACATGCCAAGTCCCTACCAGATATCCAGAGAACTACAGTAGACCTGTTACAGTAATCTGTTTGTCGCCAGACAAGATGGAGACATTAGATGATTGTGTATCTCTTCCCAGTATGTCCATGCAACCTCCTTGATTTCAACACCCATTTGATTTGCAACGATGTTCAGTAAATTAAAGTGATGTTACCGCCTCCATTAATGACATGTGAAATCATTTGCAGAGGAAACTGGATTGGGTACGCCCCCTACAAGCGAGGACGGCCCTGCAGCCAGTGCCCACCAAAGTACGGCGGGCGCTGTGCCAACAATCTATGCACAAGTAAGTTGTGTGGCATACATTCGCGTTGCGTTATATCACACCAATGTTATAACGTCATAATAAGGATCATGATACCGCATTCTCTTAGCTCAACTGCTATCCAGATAAGCAATCAATTGCCGAAAATTCTGCGACATAAAAAAAGGTTAAATAGAGGAATTCCAGTAATCACTTTACTTTTTCCTGCGTTTCCAAGAGCGACCTTGTGTGACTCTGACTACCTTTTCTGACATCCTTTCCTCCACACCGCTGTTCTTTGACAATGTGTAGTCAGATACTCCTGTGTTACCAGTCAGTGTATGTATTAGTTGATCCGTCGTCTGTTGTATGGATAGAACCCCAGTAGTTTGCTACTCAGTTTGTAGTGTATTAACTTGTGTAGTACGCCCCTCACGCCACCCTTCCCGTTCCTCTCCCTGGCCCGCCACTTTCACGCAAAGTGCAAGGCACTCTGGAGGACTATGGGATCGTGATGGACCCTGAGGATGAAGAAGAGTTCAACACAATCGAGACATACAATGGCGACAAGAGACTCGATCCCAATGACAGGCGGCAAGAAACTCAAATAACGACAACTACTCCTGTGCCAACCACCACAACAACAACCACTACAACTCCAGAACCTACAACTACAACAACTACGACAACACCTGAACCAACGACCACAACAACAACTACGACAACTCCAGAGCCAACAACAGTCCCCGAACCAACTACGACTATCGCTCCCCTGACAACAGCTAAACCTACAACAGCGCAGCCAACCGAGGCAGCTGTGAACGACAGAAGGGTGGGTCAGGTGTCTGAAGGCGGTTCAGAAGAGGAGGGAGATGGTAATGTTTACTCAAAGGCGCTTTGATTCCATCTACCCATCCATTGACTGGCGCACCCTGCTAGCTTCTTCCTCATCGCATTTCTTCATTCACTAAATACATGTGAAACGCACAAAACTAAGCGAGCAAATATCACCATTTGTAATTTTGTTGCCTCTCATGTAACCCCAACAACTTCGGAGTCTAACCTTATCAGTGACCACGTCTCACATATAAAACTGCTTTCTTAAACTTGCTGCAAGAGCAACGTAATACGTTTTTGCGCGAGCGCCTAACAGCATTTGACTTGTAACTGTAGTGTGCAGTCATCCTCATCATCAAAGTTAATTTGCGACAATGAAAATGTCTTCTTGTAGAATTCGCTGGCGAAAAGGTAGGTTTGCTTTGTCATCGTCTATAAGTTAAAACGCAGAGCTTTTAATTGATCATTTTCAGCGTGGTTAAAATATGGATGTTCACAGTAAATGTTTCATACGGCGCTGCGTGGGGACGTTATGTCACCCTTAAGAGTTTCGTATCGATAATATGCAACATGGCGGGGCATCATTCCTGAGTCTGTTTGTTCGTCTGCTTGTCTGTGGTGTGCTTGTACTGCCCCTGTAGACTCGTTGCATGTAAGCGTTACAGCTATACGGACGACAACGTGACTACAGTAACTGTTACAGTTCGATGAGCTGGTCACTGGCATGCAGTAACCGGTGCTAATTCACATTTACGCGCCAATTTGTTAGCGTACAGATTCTCGTTGAATAGGAAAATATGAATATAAGTGAACAAATCATGTGTCTTGCAAGTAACCTGGTAAAAGAGACAGAAACTCCCCTCATTCATGGCAAACGTAGGTCAGTCTGTCCGCCTCCAGCGTTCTCACCGCATCACGTTTTCATCTGATTGCATAGAAAACTTAAATGTGGGAATCCTCTAACCACTCGACACAATAACGCCGCAATTGTTGTAAAGGGGAATTTTATCTAACTTCCGCACGCTCGCCTAAAGGATGATGATATGAATAACGTCACTCAGAATATCTGTTTGGGTGACTTTAAGAGGTACCTAACTAAAGAAAACCCTTTTCCTTCACGTAACGTTAATATTCTTCAGGATCTTAGGCTTCTTGGATAAACAAGAACGATTGGTTTAAATTGCGCCGAACAATGATAACACATCTGGATGATTGAAATGACATGTCATGTTTCAAGTTACATGGAACGTTTTTCCCAAAGTGCCGTGTTGTTGTCCCAGGATTCCATTTTGATTCACACCCCTATTCTCCACAGACTCAGTTTATGGCCAGAGTCAGGGGTCTGATCCTAGGAGTCGGAACCTGAACCGCGACAGGGACAGGAACAGGGACAGTAACAGGAACAGTAACAGGAACAGGGATAACCAGGTGGCAGAGACGTCATACCGAAGAAGCAATTACGTCACTCCCCGCACAAAGCTCTCCACCGAGCCGGAGACGATGGAGGTATCCAGCGATGAATACTTAGGTTTGTGCGATTCTCTGTTTGCTAGTAGAGAGCTGTCCTTTAAATTAAGACACACCGTAGCCTTGCGCGTACCAAGGGGCAAATGATATAGGAATAAAGCTTAGTTAGAATGTGCGCGTCAAAGATGTCGAGAATTCACTAATAGAAACGAAGGTAGTGAACATTTGACGAGACAATGTCTTCAGCTGGATTTCATGTCCTTCACATACAGTTTTATGGAAAATATCTTTAATCTTATGACAAACTTTTTTTTACTAAGTTAAGGGCCAAATGCCAAACCATTGTGGCCTGGTATAGCGCCTGTTCTGTACTGTAAAGACCAAAGAATTCACCTCTGTAACACAATTTAAGCGCATATGTATTATCCATTTCTTTTTCAGTGCGGAAGGCAACTTGTAGGACTAAAATGTCGGAATGCAGGGACGAGCCGTGCATCAGGTAAGTCTTCACGTTTGTGGTTGATGAGAGGAGGGTTCTTTTCTAACGAAAAGTTGCTGGCTTAATTTCGTCAAACCAGTTGTAATGCCATCCCACTCACAGTTAAAACGGAGTCTCATGTATATCAACTGTCCTTTTATTCCGGCAGATTCCGCTGCCCTGCCAACTGTGGTTACATTGGTGACGAGGTGATCGGGACACTGTGGTATGACGCGGTAGGTGGCAGAAATTGTCACGTCAAAGTTTAAAATTTGTGTTCCATAACTTTATGGTAAGGCCATGTTGATTTGATTATACGGATGACATCCAATAGGAACCCCAAAACTGATGCGAGCGTGCTAATAAAAAAATGTTTGGCAAAAAAGTTGCCTTCATTATGGGATCTAGGTGGTCATGAAGGTTGGACAAATGACTAAACACACAGAATAATATTTCATTGGCATGGTGAATAATAGGCTCTTCATTTTCATTCCTTCAAATTTTCTTCTTCATGTTCTTGTCCTTTCCCAGAGAACCAGCATCTGCCAGGCCGGCGTGCACTACGGAGCTGTCACCAACTCGGGAGGACTGGTGGACGTCAGTAGTAAGGACCAGATCCCCTTCTTCACAGGCTCCTACCGGTCGGGAATTACATCCATCGGGTACGTCGTCTGAACGCCACAGGGTGTCTCTTTACTTAACCTCCAAGCAGATCTGTTGGTAGCCAATGTAGTATCTATGGCTAATACACTGACCGGTTGGATACTGTCTTTCCTATTGCACACCGTTCTTGCCGGATACCGTCTTCCCTACCGGAAAGACCCGCTTGATGACTAGTCTTTACTACACAGTGTAATCTAAAATGTATAATGTCTTCTCGACAGTTCATTTTGTCCAATTGTTGTTTTCCTAGCAATGTAACTAAACATTGTTTTAACTGTATTGTTGTCGGTTCCACAACATCCTAATATGGACCTACCGCCCCGTGTCCTCTCAGGACTTTGACGCCGGCAAGAGCATTCATGATCAGCAGAGTTGGAGGTATGACACGCTTTTACTTTTACAGCTGCTGATTCTGTCTTCACCGCATTTATTTCTTTAAGTTCCCCTGGTTCTTTTTCATGACATGTAGACTTGTCCCATGAAACATCATTCATAGCTTGTTCAGCTAGACATTCTATTTTTATGGTGAATACTAAATTCGTCGAAAACCTCTACTTCCTCAAGTCATGCAGGCGGACTGTCGGACAACGGTTGACCAGTACTGCCCATACCGGGGAAGACCGATTCACTGCCCCAGGTTCTACTGCCCGCCATCCTGTGCCTCCTATCAGTACGCACGTGTGTATGGTACAGGCACGTACACTGATGTAAGTGAAATTGTCATTTTCAAAGCTGACTAAAATCTGACTCATATTTTCAGTAGTTTCGTTTTGATTTCAAATGAATTGGACTAAATGTTTGGCATATCTTTGTTTCAATCCATAGTACAGTACTATTTTCAAGTAAGTCAAGTCAATTTTCATTCCTTTGACTCAATTCTAGAATTCTAGTATCTGTCGAGCTGCAATACACGCTGGGGTGTTGCAAGACTACGAGGCTGGGTATGTTGATATCTGGGCAAGGAAGGGTAGGACGTCCTACCACGGAAGCAATCAGAATGGTGTCATATCAGAAAGGTACGTACCAGTTTTCTATAAGTCTCAATAACTTTCTCAGTGTCTTTCTCCACCCAAATTAAATGGATACATAGAAAATACAGATAATTCCCTTCAATTTATATAATGAACACGAGACAAAACTGCTGAGCTCAGAAAAACATAGTATCTATTAATTGAAATTTATCTGTGTATCATAACATTTACCATCATGGTGTTATTTAAAAGCAATTAGCCTTCATGCAGGATTTTGCAAAGAAAGAAATTACTAAGTAATTGCAGGGAAACTGCATGGTATGTCAGTGCATGTGATTATACATGTTAGTCCTTTTGTTTGCATCTCTTTATCTGTAATGTTGTTGCATTAGAATCTTTCATGGAGATGCCTTCTGTCTTTTCCCCCCAGCTATGGCTACGAAACAGGGAGTGCGTTCCAGGTTTTCAAAGTGGAATGAGCATCCAGTTTGTATATACTCATGCATGTGTATTATATTCATATGTTTCGGCTGGTACCATCATAACTACATCGGGTCCCATTACAGTGTTTACTTAAACAAAGACTTTAAAAAGCACAACATTGAAGGGAAAACAGGGATACATGCATCAATGACTTCCAAATACATTTTTGTATTTGCATTAAGGATTCAGGTGCCTGAAAAATTGCACCAGAGTAAAGAGATCTGGGCAATGGTCTTGAGGATTTCTAATCTGTGTATGAAACACTCTACAATCATACCTCTATCTCGAGAATGTGACCAGAGGTAGGATAAAGCCCCTTATTAGCAAGTGTTGACTGGTAAAGAGTAATGTGTAAGTGTAAGTATAATTATAAGGAACAGAAATCATATCCGTAAAAGAATTGTAACTTGTTCAGATACTCTATAATGCAAATTTAAGGGTCTTGAAGGCTATTTTCTAGAGATTGAATAGCTTGGAATGGTTATATAGTGGTGCATGTTTGCCCTTTCAGTTGTAACATTTCCCATGAGATTCAAATGTCATTGGTCAATGTGTGGAATGGTGTTGACTTGAGCTTTTTTTCAACTGTATAAAGCTGGTACAGTAGCATGTAGAAAGTGCAACTAGCAGTGTTCAAACAATATATCATAAAACAATGTAACATGTTCATTCTTTGATATATTTACCACCATTTGAGTTTACATTGGTTAAAAACTGCAGCAGCATTACTTATATGAGGAACATATTGTTTACAAATTCAATGACTCAAACATATGTAGTTACATATCCCATATTTATAGAAGTATACTTTTTTAACATCTCATGATTTTCAAATGATATTTGTATTAAATATTTTCTCACCAATATCGTAACTGTGAATTATATGTAAGTAATTGATCTAAAGATATTCCTTACTGTGACCCATTACCTACTGTTAAGGATGTAGTTGAATCAAATATTCATATCTGTCTATAATCACCAGCCCTTTTAGTCTAATGTTACCTCTAATCATCATGTAAAACTTTTGCAAAGCATTATGTGATAAAACAATTTTGTTTGAAGTGGAATACAATAAAATGCCTGTTCTATAAAATTATCATATCACCTGGTAACAGATGCTAATCATGATGTTTGCATGTAGTATAATGTGACAGGCTTGAAGAATCTGACTCTAGAACTACCTGAGTCGATTTAAATGCACATCATAGATTTTGGTCTGCTCCAACACTTTAGTTCTTACAGACTTTCAAATATAGACATTATGTGTTGTCTAAAGCCCTGGTCACAACCCGCCGTATGTGCTTTTTGTCGGTACGTTTTGGGAGGCTATGTCTGCTATGTTTTTCCTGACAACATGGGGAAGGAGTGGCGTCTATGCACGTCACTTGCACGGTTGCGCAAGGTGTAAGAGTGTGGTCTGCACGCCACATCTGGCCGTGAGCGGTGGCGTGCATCATTCGTTGCGCAAGTGGTAAGTGAGTTGTACGTGCTTACAACGTATGATCTCTGTGCGATTGCAACTTTACCATAAGGAGGCTGTACTCACATGTGCTTCTTCCGTACGGTACGTACGGGGCACGCCCGTTGCTCGTACTCGCACGCACGGGTGGTGAATCTGCAGACCGCATGCAGAAAAAGTTTAACATGCACTTGGAGTTCTACGGCGTGTCTGTGTGCTCCCAAATCTGTAGGATCCTGTAGGATTCCGTACGGAGGCGGTACTCACCACGCACGGATGCCCTATGTTTGCCCACATTTTTGCACGTAGACAGCACGCAGAAGCACGTACGGCGGGTTGTGACCAGGCCTTAACTGAGTACATATCATTAAATAGAGTCAGTAACCATAGATCAGCTGTAAATTACAATTACATGAATAGAAACAAGTCTTAACATAATTTCCCGTAGAATGTAGAGTAGAGATCGGGCAACTTGCCAGGGCCGTCCCACTGGCACTTACTGCAGAGCTTCTGGAGACTTCTTGGCCATCATGTCTATGAAGCTCTGCAGGTGTAGCTCAGCATAGGGAACGATGTACTGTAGAGCCTCCTCCACCCACTTGGTCACTACATGTGGCTGGATCTCTCTCAATTCACGGCCAGTCTGCATGGCCAACATCTACAATGGGGAACATTTATATCAATTTTTTCACCGGCTGTGTTACAAGTCAGATCTGCCAACATAGGGATAAATGACAATGACAATGAATAGATAAATGAAATTAGAACGGGATTATTCAGTTTTAGCCAATTCATACATAAAAAAAACATAATGCCAGTCTATTGCAAGAAAAGAGATAATTTTTAAAAATCCACAGAAATAGGGTCTTAAAGGCAAGATTACCTCATACACAGCTCATTCTTGTGAATATAAATTTCCCTCTGCAATGAAAGCATTTTTAAACAAAACAGAAAAATGTGCTCCCCCCCCCCAATCACTAAGAAACAAGATTACCTGATACATGGCAACCCTCTCCAGATAGTACATGTAGTCAAAAGCTAGTGCAACTGACTGTCCCACAGTCAGCACACCATGGTTGCCCATCATCAGGGCGGTCATCTTTCCCAGCTTGGAGGCCAGGCGTGGTCCCTCCTCTCCAGACGTAGCGAACCCGTCGTACTCTGTGTCGTACGCGATGTTGTTGAAGAAACGCACAGACTCCTGCTGGATCATACGCAGGGTACAATCCTCCAGCACTCCTGGAAATACATTGCATAGTTCATCGGTATTTGATACGATTGAGGTGTACACGTATTTTGAGATTTTCATAATACGTTCAGATATATCAAAGGTGCAACCAAATATGCAAATCTTTCAGAACATTTTAATTTCGGTACATCATAGGATTCAATAAAAGAAATTAAATGTCGCATATCAATTCAGAAATATGGCTATACAAACTTGATTTTATGGATTAAATCAACAGGCTCATTCGTCATTCATCCCTTACCCAGAGCTGTTGCATAAGGAGCGTGGGTGTGCATGACAGATTTGACGTCATCTCTGGCGTCGTAGACAGCCATGTGAATCTCAGCAGCACTTGTCTCTGCTCTGCCTTTGCCTTCCACAACCTCTCCCTTCTCATTCAGGCCAAGGAGGCAGCTGGCTGTCACCTGGAGAGACAAATTACCTATAAGTAGCAGTTTAAGACCCCCATCCCCACCCCACATCTGGGCAAATTGTTTTATGAGCCTTAGATGCCCAGAAGGACAAGATTCAGAAATCTTTTGCTGTTCCTTCTTTCAGTGGGTCATAGTGAATATCATTAGACATTGATTATGCAACTTGGGGGATCATCTGCATAATGAAATGCTATAACTTTATTGTGTGAAAGGTTTATCAGCACCAAGGACAGAACCTGGAGAAGTGAAGAGGATGACTGTTCCTGGGACAAATCTGATTTGGTTGGAGATCATTTATCGAAATAGTAATGCAGATGCAGAACTTTCTGTGCATTTAATGAGGAATGTCTATAAGGCCTAAACAGGTTAATCTTTAATGGATGACATTGTACATGACAGTGTACATTGAAAAATTATGAAACCCTAAAAAAAAAAGATTCATTCTCCCCCAGCAATGGTCAACATGACAAAAAATACCCATCTTGCTTGCTTCTTTTTGTACTTTCACATTAGGTTTGCAGTTCTTCAAAGCATGTCATCTATAAAATTCACTTGCTTTGGCCTAATACCGTAAAGTTACTGGCAAAGGAATGACTGGCATGATTTTGTTGCCCTCAAGGATAGATAGCATACTAGTAGCTGGTGAATCAGACCCTCAATGACCCACTGCCCTGTAACGCGTTACGCTGTGGGGCCAAACCATCCCCAAAGCCAGCCTGCTGAGAATGGTCACCCGAGCTATATATAAACAAGGCATAGCATATCATCCGATGGAAAACAGCTCAATTTCAAACAACAATGCAGGCTGACCTGGCTCCAGTGTGTTCCATGTGGCACCAGTAGCATGACGGTCCCCTCCCCACTGGCAGCTGGACACAGAGCTGTCAGGTGGTTACACACGCCCATGTGCAGGTTGTAGTACTCCATGGCTCGGTAGGAGGTCGCCAGGTCAATTCTGGTTTGCAGGTTCTGCTTCTGAGCATTTCTCAAGATGTCCCCACTACAGATGAAATTACAAATGCCCGGGCAGCAGAAAATTATTGTTTGTAAACATGCCTGTCTATCGACTCTATGCGCACTAGAATTAATGCAGAAACACGTTTTGATTTTTCGCCAAAAAGCGTCCTTGTAATACTTTCATGGACGTCTACATAGTCCTCAGCCAGAACAGCGTTCTGAAGATCAACACCTGCTCAGTCCAAGGACATTGATTGTATAAAATGTCCTTGCTCAACCTCGCTCTAATTATTAAACGTTACGTATTACTAACTGGGGAACCGCACTTTATGGATACGCAACTCCCCCTCATGAAAATGGTAACGTTACTTACTAGTATAATACCTTATCTTATATTAGCATGTAAAACCAAGTCCCCGTAAACACGTCGTAAAGTTCTAAGGTAAGGTAAGAAAACGTTAAGGTAAACACAAATTACTCTGTTTGTTGTGCTGTAGACGTGCTGCTCTGGCTCCGACTCCCCACCCTGGTGATGAGAGGTCGGCAGCGGGTTAGCAAACCAACACTCCTGGTCAGCATAGTCGGGAAAAGTCGCCACAGACACACGAGCACACACAAAATTTGTACACCACGGTACGCAGTCCAATTTTACACTGAATAGCCGCAGGCGAGGCCTGACCTTGCATGGTTTTGTGAACTTTGTCCTTGGCCTGACGCAGCTCCCTGACGTCTTCATTAAATATTTATAAATTGCCGAGCGGTGCCAGCAGGTTTCCCCACATTGTCGGTTACCAAAAGTAACCTATTGTATATATAGTATGACAACAACCAAATTGCGAACATTTAAGTGACAAGAACGTAGCAAAACTGCTAGAGCGTCGATCACATGATGGCCTAACAACTTGAAGACATTTGATACGGTTAGCCGATCCCATTGAAATTGTAATCTCCAAGCAGATCTTTTGGTGGGGGTAAGACAGTATCAAATTGGCCAGTCTGTAACCATTTCCCCACCATTGATACTGGGTAGGGAAATGGTTATAGCCTGGCCAATTTGACACTTGCCTGTCGCAAAAGTACCGAAGTAACGGGTTCCTTTCTCAGCACTCGGTATACAGAGGTGAGGCGGCTTCCGTCCTAGATCTCCAGTGCCGAAGTTACGTCAACACTTGGTGTCCAGTGTCGGCGGCTTCAGCACTGGAAACTCTAAATCGGTAAATCAAACCTTGTCTTTAGAAAGGGTACCGAGAGGCCGCCTTTGAACTCTAACACTTATATTTTATGAGATCGTACCGCCCGGGAAGCAAATTATAATCAGGAGGACAAGGTGATCGGCAGGACAATACTGCAAGGCTCAGATCCTCACATTTTTAGACATAGACTTGGCCTACGATAATGTACCGTAGCCGGGCGCGGCCGACGTAAGCACCAGAGGCCCAGTGCCGAAATGATTTGAGAACTTGGCTTCCAGCACCAAGAGTCACCGAGCACTGGAACGATCCAGTGAGGAATCCGTTACTTAGGGACTTCGGCACTTGCTATCCAGTGGTGAACGGCCTCCGAGCACTGGTAGCGAGTGCTGAGTGGAATTTAGGGACTGTACGATATTTACCGGGGGGGAGGGCTGGTGCAAAATGGTCCGGTAAAATTTTTTTTCCCATGGCCCTCCCCCCGGTCTCAAAATTTTTTTCAATGGCCCTCCCCCGGCTCAATTTTTTTCAATGGCCCTCCCCCACCCCAAAAAATTTTCGGTGGCCCTCCCCCCCATTTTTCCAGTCCATGTCTCTTTCTCCCTCCGTAAATTCCCGAATGAAGTACGCATCCCAAATTAAAGTACGCACCCCCGTTTGGGGCTGGTGGGAGACAAATATTCCCGTCTGAAACGTAAGGCCACACCAAGTAAATTTTATGGATGACGTCCGCGCGCGCATTGATTTTGGCCTGTTCCTAGAAAAAAAACAAGAAATTCCGCTTCCTGTAACTATGACCAAAGAGTCACGACAGTGCCGCAAATAGGTTTGTACGGACCAAAGCATCAAGCAACGAAATCATGACTTCAGGAATTCAGTTTGGTACATGCTGCCACATTTGAAGAAACTTGCTGACCGCTCCATCTATCTCCCCAAACTCACAGGACGACAACTGCTGTTCCACCTGACTTCTTGCTTGTTACACTGTGTCACCTCATTCAATTTGTGTCCTAACATTTGTCGTCTCTTAGTATATTTCTTATCTAGGCATCTTGTTTTTTAGGGCCCGTCTTGTTTTTTTTTCGCCCTCTCGCATTAGATTTAGGGTCTCCAAAGGACGTCATCCATAAAATTTACTTGGTGTGGCCTAAAATGGAAAAACTCGAATTTAAGTACGCACCCCTTCTACGCACGGCCGGTACCACAGTGAACATGTAGTATGTATGTCTTAAAGACAGTTCGTCGTTCCAAACAAATTCAAAATTGTTAAAAACTAGATTTATGCCGTGTACTACGTGATGGTATTGTAACATAGCGGGAAACGTTTCAAGTTCGGCTTGTTTTTCACCGCTGGCCGCAGCAGACTTGTAAGACGTCACCACCGCATCGAAAGGTAAGGCAAGTGCGGCGAAACGCACAGATTTGGATCCAGCTTTGGAGTGTTGGTGATCAAGCAAGCAACGGTCAATAAAGATTCGTGAAAAAAAGACAATATTTCAATATTGATTTTATCGGTAACGGGGGGTAGTTGAATGTTGATGCACAAGTACGTAGCTTTAATGTTTTTAATACGAAATGCGCCGAACACTTCGCCCGCGCGATCGACCCATGGAGAGCAACAATCATACAGGCGGAGAACTGGGCGGAGTATTTGGGTGTAGAGGTGCTACCGAATTTAAAATTTGACACCGAAACCAATTAACACAACAACAAAAGACTACTGGGATCAATGGGACTTCCGATTCCGAACAGGAGAAAGTGACAAGTTTTACTGCGTTTCAAGTAATCTCTCGTTATGTGATAGATGTTTTTATCACAAAATCTAAGGAATAAGTTACACGTATTAATTTGTACTCCGTAAAACTTATAAGTTCCTTCTCGGGGTCCATGTTCTGGAAAGCTGTCCTCAGTGCTGTGCATGCCACGGCCCTCTCTGTGTTCTTCAGCTGTAGGTGTACTTTGCCTGTCGGCGCGCCAAACACCCCACCCACTGGCCGGGCGGTAAGATTTCATCAAAGACTACATTTTAAGTTAACTCCGCCCCTATCATTGTAGCTTGCCGAACAGTCGAGTAGGAGTACATCTAGCTGGAATTTTCACGTCGTACTGGCTGGTGTAGCCCGCTACAAAGTAATTTCCTGTGGCATTTATCAAGATTTAAAAATATTTGTGATACGAAGTGAAACATGGTTAGCAATTTCTGAACCTTTGAAACGACATGGGCATAATCTTTGTTGAAGATTCTGAGTTGAACTCAAGCCGGAAGTGTATTGGAAATGATGACCATCAGTTGAGGCACAACTGTTATGTTATCACATGTTACGTTACGACGATCAAGAACGTTCACGGCTTGCGGACCATTTCAAATATTACCACTCATAAACCCCACAATTGTATGTGTACTTACGGGAGGTTATATTTTTGCCGGGGTTCCACTGAGATCGGCGCCGGCTAGCAGGGGAACGATCCTGTCGGCATGACAAAGCGCGGGCGTCATTGCTAGTGACCAACATTTTCTTACCGTGGGTGACGATAGTCACAGGAAATATGTTCATTTATTGAAGTTTAACTTTATTTCCACTCGTCAATATTCTTATCTAAACATGCTATAGACGATCGATGTTCCAAGCTCCCCGTTCCGCTATATTCCTGGGTCGTCCACGGATTTGTCGGCGGAAAACGAGTGCCGAGTCAAGATTCAGCTCTGGAATTCCAGTCCTGATGGTGTTTCAGCACTGGAACAAAGCCGTTTCTGCACTAGAATTCCAGTGCGGGGCTTTCTTCCACACAGGGCCCCGAGTGTCGACGCCACTTTCCCCGTGAGTTCCGCACTGGGCGGCCAGTGAGGAACCCGTTACTTCGGTACCCTTGCGACACTGTCTTACCCCCACCAAAAGATCTGCTTGGAGATTATGAAATTTGGGAATGAGTTGGTAAAGTCTGCGCCAACACGTAGCATGCGGCATAGCCCCCTGCAGTGTGCACATCACAGCGTCCGGTGGGTGTTACGTCATTCTTGAGAAGGCCTCTTTAACACCATTTTCCTAGAGGAGGTCTTGTGACACCTGGTAAAACTTAGGGTTTGGCGTCATATTTCTGAAGCAATAAACCTTTCAAGAGATAATGAATCACGAGAGACAGTCATAACCTGAAAACCTTGTCTGGACAAAGTAGATCGATAGATAGGAATATAATGCTTACGAAGGACCCTTGCCGAATAATAATACGCCAGTAATCTCGGCAACAACACGTTTATTTTAGCGTCCTCTGTTGTGCCAATTGTACTCAACTAACCCTTTCCGAGTACATTTTGTGTAACGACTGGTACATTGTATTTTTGAACATACGCCCCACTGAACCATTGTTCTTATTTTTTATTACAACAAAAGTAGTAGCCTTGAGACAATCGTGAGAAATAGCAAGGGACAGTTTATTGCAGTTGTTGACTGACACGCTCGACATTTAAAGCACTTAAAATATACCTGGTAATTTTCAGACGGTTCTGACATTCTTCATCTATTATAGCCTGCCTGGTATCCAGTCTGATCGTGGTCGAAAGAGCTCTGTCCCGCCCGCTTCACATAGGTTTCCCGGTGTGTATTTCACGAGAGATTGATTAGCCCTCCACGAACATGTTGGGGGAAACCAAATCCCCAAGCATACTGTCTCTTATTAGCGTAACTCCCCTACCGGGACGGTCTGTTGCACTGGGCGGGGGAAGCTACAATGTATTAGAGCCCCCGAAGACACAACCTGCCTGAACACCCCAATACCCCCAATCACGTAAGATTGGATACCAGGCTACATCTATTAGTGCTATCACCTTTTTGGTCACCTTATTCATTAAAACCAGTACAAGATTTTTTTCTACTTGTCACACAAGTAACATATTTCACACAATCTCACAATTTAAATGGAAAAGTCCACGAAACGTGATTATACAATTATTGTCTTTATAATACATTGTATTATACAAACTTCTGTGTAACTTAATTGTCTTTGTAGCCACTCTTGATTATTGCACAACTGATACAAAACTCAGTGTCTGTACCTAGAATATTCAAGCCTTTTCCAATGCAAAATAATAGTAATGCATGTTCCAGAGGGGCTTTAAGACTAGCTATGATAGTACAATAGGACCATTAAAGCTCAGCTGACAGCTACATACAGTGTTATGTCATGATCTCTACAGCAGAACCTCAGGACTTTTTTTGGCATACATGTTTTTAAAGCCCTGGAGGTGTGTCTCAGCATAGGGCAGGATGAACGGCTGTCCCTCCTGCATCAGGCTCCATCTGGCTGCCACCTGCGGCTTGATCTCCTGCAGCTCCCCACCTGTCTGCATGGCTAGCATCTGCAGGAAGAAGAGGAGAAGAGGGTCAGGCTATGAGCCTTAAAATCTTGTTGTAGATTTATTGGATGTACATAGTACTAGAGGAAGGGCATGTGCAGAGTATTGGAGGGGAGGAGTGTAGCAGTGGTGACTCAAGAAAAAGAAGATAACCCAAAGGTAAGGACCTTCTGATCATGTTTTAAGAAAAGAGCAAGACATGTATAATGTAAGGTTAGTATGAGTCTCTTCAAAACAATTATGCAAGTAAGTCACCTGGTACATGGCCACCCTCTCCATGTAATACATGTGGTCGAATGCCACGGCCACTGTTGGTCCCACAGTCAGCACACCATGGTTCCCCAGGATCAGGGAAATTTTGTCTCCAAGTTTGGAGGCGATGCGTGGTCCCTCCTCTCCCGTGGTGGCAAACCCATCATACTCTGTGTCGTACGCAACGTTGTTGTAAAAGCGCATGGAGTCCTGGTGTATCATACGAAGTGTGCAATCTTTCAGTGCTCCTGCAGAGAAACATTCAGAAGTGCAGTACAACATCTGAGTTATGACACATGAGCCTAGCATACAAACATTTTTTTATTTAACTTGTCTCTTGTGCAGAAATGAAGGTAACAGAAGAATTGTACCACATTGTTTAATAGGTGTCAGGGTAAAGAGTCTTTGACCTTACCCAGAGCCGTTAGATAAGGAGCGTGGGTGTGCATGACAGATTTGATGTCATCTCTGGCGTCGTAGACAGCCATGTGAATCTCAGCAGCACTTGTCTCTGCTCTGCCTTTGCCTTCCACAACCTCTCCCTTCTCATTCAGGCCAAGGAGGCAGCTGGCTGTCACCTGGGGAGACGACAGATGAATAAACACTGGACAAATTAAGATTTCCCTGATCCATAAATCATTTTTATTCACTTTATGGATGCATCAATTTCATGTACATGTAACTGACCTTGGCCTGCCTATCAACCAAAGATTGTTTAATCCCTCAAAAGACTACATTTTACACTTGTCTGATAGATGATGATGTACAACATGTGGGTCTAATACTAGTACCTGGCTCCAGTGTGTTCCATGTGGCACCAGTAGCATGACGGTCCCCTCCCCACTGGCAGCTGGACACAGGGCTGTCAGGTGGTTACACACGCCCATGTGCAGGTTGTAGTACTCCATGGCTCGGTAGGAGGTCGCCAGGTCAATTCTGGTTTGCAGGTTCTGCTTCTGAGCATTTCTCAAGATGTCCTCACTACAGATGAAATTACAAAATGTTAGGACTATTGGAGCTTGATCGATTTGTTTTGTGAAAAGGATAGGAGTCCCAGTTCAACACAGGGTTTTTCCACTTTGCAGAGATAATATGTGCATATCATATGATAATTTTTTAATGTGTAGAACAATTAAATCCCCAGTACTTAACAGGGTTGTGTTCTTCCTTGACTCACTGTTAAGGGTTTTGTGCCCCTGCTTCCTCTGTACTCTGTAAATGATAGTAAACACTCAGACAGACAGACAGGCAGGCAGAAAGGTAGACCATGAGTCCACATGTTTATCTTCCCTCCAACCACCTGTTTGTTTGCAAATGAGTGACATAGTTTTTTTGCCCAAAGGGCAGAGTCTGAGATAATACAACGTACAATGTATGTCAAAATGGTGTACATGTAACACAAAATGATTCATTACAACAGCTAAAATCACTTTGATTGGCAAAGCAATGTAATGCAATGTTGATTCTAAATTCATGCAAAACTACATTGGCCCAACCTCCTTGATATATTATTTATTTATTCACTTAGCCTGAGACTATCATATGAAAACTGGGATATTTAATTGCAAGAATATACAATAAATTAAATGGCATGAGAGTGACCACAATACATACTCTGCTTGCTGAGCTGTAGAAGTGCTCCCCACACCCCGAGTGCCCACCCTGGTGATGAGTGGTCTGGTCCATTTCAGCAGCCCTGCGCTCCTGCACAGCATGGTCACCACAGACATGGGCGTAAATGTACCTGCAGAAAGTGACGAGGCCAAGAATCAAAGGTTTCATGAATTTTAAAGAACAATTGTAACGTTATAACAACGTTATACACACACACGTGTACAAGAATTGCAATACTATCACCGAGCACCTACTGCTCAACTCTTCCGTGACTGTTGCCTCTCACAAAAAAACAAAGCTTCGCGTGACAATAAGTTGTTGATCATTCTCCCACGGCAGAGCTATCCTGACGGCAAAAGACACTAGCCCTGCATTCTAAGGCTATTTAATTAATACGCCGCGGAAAAACCTCTGTCGCCCTCGGGAGAATGGTTGTTGACATGCCGGGTGAGTGACTCAGCGCAAAGCTATAGAATAGCAAATATGTTGATGTGCTTTTGTAGCATGTGATATACTGTATCACGAAAGGTGTTAAAGACATTATATATGGTCCCTGTAACAGTGTCACCATCGTGAAGGGATCACAAGTAACGTTAACTCACCTGGTACTGTAAGGTATTAAACGGGTTTAATGGCTTTTCTTTTTAACTGTATTACCAGTACCTTATTCACCTCACGTGCATTGCCATGCAGCCGTTCATCATCTACTCTAGAGTGAGTTTGACATAAAACAAAACCAGTGACCTTTGATCAGTATCTACGTACGTTAACGTTAGCATTACCCATGTTACCGTTACCTGTGCGATTGTCCTGCGTGTCAGTTTGTTGCAGGTGACCTCCTGCTCACCCCGGAAATGTATGCCTAGTCAGCACAAAGCAGACAAACCAGTAAGAACTACAGGCACTGGGTTGTACTGAAACCTCCCAGGGATAAGGACTTCACCTTCACCCCTTTCTGCACTCTAACCTTTCCCTCCGCTCTCATTGATGTATTGTTGTTCGACCCGCATGATTCGACACACGTCCTGTCAGAGGCGACAACTGCAATTCTAGACAATCCCAACAGAAGTCGCTGCTGTGCACGGTCCTCAGTGTCAACAAGCAACAGTGAATGACCCCTTCATCAGGCACCAATTTTGTCTGCATTCGTGACTGTTTGTACGTACCTATATATGTCGTGTTCATTGCTTGAATTCTTTTTAACTGCGTGTATTTTTCGGCAAGTCCGTTGCTATCAAGACTTTCCATTTATTTAATACGTCCTGTGATGTCTGTAGTCAGAGTGGGAGGGGGGCGGCAGGGCATGGCATTCTATAGAATCATATAATTTTGTCCTATCCCAACTATATTGAATACAGAGATAGAGATGAACACGAGATATTTGACTCATCATTGCTGCACTTGCTTATTTCATGTATGTGCATAATATTTTCTTTTCATTTAGCCTGCAGTTCTTGATGGTCCATTCAGCAGGAGGTACCAGATTGTGACTGCAGTGCAGTCCTCCTTACAGAAACACTTTTCATGATGTTCAACCCCGTGGCTTCAATAAGAAGACTCGGTCCCACAGGAAAAATCATTCTTGGCTGGTAGGGTTAGATTTTCCTCCTCTTATCAGGCACAAAACAGTAAAAACAACAATTTTGTTTACTAACTTAAAAAAATCAAATATTATTTGTTTACTAGTTTATAAAATTAATATCAATCATTGCTTGTGTCTTAGCAAGGACATTAACTTAGCTTTGAGCTGATGAAACAGAAATGTACACATGTTTCAATGATCATGTCTTGAGTGCCGACATACTAAAAGGCTGATAGTAAGCCTCCTTTCAATGCTGATCAATGCTTTTCTTATTTCAGGGTGACAATTATGCCTACAGCAATCGTGTCCTTCATTCTTGTGAAAAAGCATGTTGACAAGAATCGGCTGGAGATTCTTCGCAGCAAGGCCCGGATGAGGGGCGTGGAAGAGAAGAACTTGGATGAATTACGGAGTAACAGAGGAGGGGGCATACAGTAGATAAAACTTTACTCTGTATTCCGCACTTACTGCCAGGTCCAACATATCATTGTCATCCTGTGGATTGGGCTGATCTGACAGTGAAACTTTGAATGGCAAGTCTGTGGAACTCTCAGTGTGCATTGGAGCCACCATCTAAGTTTTTCAAGCTTATTATTAAAGAATGTAGCTACAGTTTTCACAAAGTGAAAGATTTGAACAATTGTTGAGAGTGGATAGCCACTAAAATAGAACTTCCTCCTGAATTTGACTTTGTGGTGTTTATTTAAACTATTTTAATTGTTAGCCTGTGATGAAATACATGAAGTAGTAAGTAGACACTTCTGGCTCTACATCATGGCAATTCAGCAGCACCTCCTTTTGGACTAAGGTTGTACTGCAACTGGCATGGTCTTGGTTTTCAAAACGGTGTAATAGATGCATTTTGGGGGTGGAATGGGGGCTTGCTCATTTCCCATACAAACATTTTCTCCACATTCAGCCTGAAAGAGGACTAACAAGATGATAATTTATAATAAATTGGAGTATCAGGCCTTTTTCTACCTATATGATGAGTAACAATGTACCAACACTGGACTGTTACAGCAACAGACATGGAGAATGCACCAATTGTGATAAATTGGGAAGATCACTTAATCGCTAGCCCTTATCAATAATTCATAATGCTACAACACGTGCCAAGTTTAAGTGCCACATTGTATTACGCAAAAAATTGTCTACCTATTTACTGTCTTAGCCGTTTTTCTGTGGCTGAGCTTGCCTAGTTTTATTGGAACCATGAACTAAAGATGCCACTACAGGCAATATTCTATATGTGTTTGTACATCTTCAGTATTGTTGTCTAAAAATTAGACTAATAATAGGATCCCACATAAAGGTACATGTGCTTTGGAATGGATATTTTTCTAATGCTGTGTTACATTCCTCAAACAATTGCTGTGTTATAGACCTTTACTAGTAGTCATTTGACAAAAGATACATGTTTTAAAAGCCCAAAAGTGTATTAGGTTTCAGTTGGAAATATAAGAATCATTCTGTCTCATCTACAAAGCCATACACCATATGCCCACCATTCCATCAACCACTTGCAATGATGTAAGGATTATGTGTATCTGGGAATGTCAATAAAATGGTCTAGAAAATCATGTTGAATTATTGATATTGCCCCAATAGAGCAAGCAGGTGATTGCCCCATGGGCTGCTAATTAGATATAAAGCATGTGCCGGGGCATTACCGTAACCTGTGGATCTTTACCACTTAGAGTGAGTGTGCACTCATACCGTCATAAATGGGAGTCTACAATTCACTAGGGCAACAAAAAGTGATAGGGAGGGATATCATATGCCAAGTCTCTTGCTTTGTGTATTGTAATAAAAGATCATAGCAATGCATGTTGGTAGGTGCTTTTTGTGCTAGTGAGGCACAGACTTCACACTGATAAGGGAACAGAATTGAAATAGACATGTGCCTGTCTAGATCTGTAGCTTACATGTCATTATATGAAGGTCCTGAACACAGCTTCAAATCATTTTTACCATAGCCAGAATTCAGAAATGGAGGAATGGCAATTCAAAATCCTGCATAAAGCAAGAGCTGGACTGAGGACAGTGGAAAGCAGTGTTGACCTGCACTGTCGACAGTTGAGAGCAGCGACGATGATGATGATGATTATAAAAAAGCAAAATGAATTTTCCCTTTGGAGTGAAATATCAACATATTGTTAATTAAATTTGAGACGCTCCAATACTTTATGATAATAGGTGCATAAATGAGACATTTATGTGAATTTGATGGAAATACAGAAAATAATTGGAAACTTAAGAATCAAATTTGTTGAAAATGTGAAATTGTGAACATTCCAGAATATTGTGCAATGATCTGAAAACTGGAGTGGAATAATTTTTGATTGACAAAAAATGGGGCATTAATCAACGCAATTAATTGTACATGGTATCTATCTGTTCAGTATTCACATTTCCCCCAAAATTCTCATTACCAAAGATAAGATACAAAAGATATAATGTCCTTGTTTATACCCCTGATAGTGACAGGCTCTAACTCTAACCATTACAATGTCACCTTAAGTTAGATTTTGAGGTTTGGAGGATTTAAAATACGGATTTAAAGCTCCTTGATTGTATTTTAAAAAGGCGAAAATTTTCCGTATTTACTCCAGAAAACGTTTTCAAAACTACGTTTGATTGTCGCGCATACCCAACTTAAAAACTAACTTTTATTGCTCTGTTAACCACTGATTTTCCACCTGTTCCAACACCGGAAATGGGGCCTAATCACACATATATAAGTCCGCAGATACGATAAAGTTCGATTTATCATAATCCGTAGTTGACGTAAAATAAAGACATGAACTTAGAAAAATTACACAGATTATAGAAAATATGTTATTGATTTGTGAGACTGGGAAGCTAAGGATCCGACAGCACAAATGCTAATGACATCCTAATCACCGGAAGGTGAGTTTCTATGTCTCCCTCCGCATCTCGTTCCAAGATGGCGTCCGTGCGACGTGTCTTGTCGGCTGTCGCCGTCAATTCTGTCTTCCTCCTGTTGCTAGCAGGGCTGACTGTGCAGGAGGGCGAACAAGTAAGTTCAGTGCTGCTTTGTTTGTCACGATGAAAAAAATACCGCTTCTCAGTACCTCCATGTTGTCCACGAATCGCCGTGAAAGTGTAGCGGGAGGGCGTACGTCTGGCCAGTGCCATGTCATCGGCTGTGCAGGCACGTCGTCTGGGGCAGTGGCCTTGTGATCGCTGGGCTTGCTCGGGTCAAGTATTCTCACAACAAAAAGTTCTTCCTTCCTCCCAGGCTACCGCCGCGCTACCGCCTTAAAACAAATTGGATAATACTCCAACAACGCCAGGATTACTGGGCACTGTTTAGTCTCAAAACGTGATCATGCCTACGCCAAGCTCGAGTGTTCGTGTACATGCGTTTGTAAATGTAAATTATTTTTGTAGGCAACCAGCAGGAACGCGTGTAAAGGAAATCTGAACACTTTTGTCACATGAGACGATGTCGCCGATTTGAGTGACTGTTTATCCCTTACGAGTACTGTATTTTGACTACATGCTCTAGCCACACAACCGCTGGTTTGTTGTTTGACATATTTCACATTTTCACCTTGCAGATGTCAATCAAAGAAAATGTTGCTCTAGTGTATCACAGGTGGAATCCCACCCTGTTTTTGTGGTGTCATATTTGCATGATAATTTCACAACATAATCCTCCATTTGTACGTTATCGGACTTCATAGTACCAGGGATCAAGGGTCAAGCTTATATCTAATCAACATAATCCAGGACCAGTCTGGGATGCACTCTTCCATTTTCAGGTCAAGATGTCAAATATCTACAGAGATCAACCTTTGAGATTATACAGTAGTATCACAAATTGCTCTTAGATTACACCATGTAAATGATATTAGAAATGCATGAATGTCCAGACGTAACCCTCAGTGTGGAGGAATCGTTATCCGAAATTTGTTTACTTTGTCAAAGTCTGTACTATAAACTGTAATCCAAAATGACACACATTTGTATTTTTGAGCCAAGACGTGGCTTTATAAAAATCTTATTCCATTCCAAACGATACCAACTCTAACTGCTAACTACTTTTATTCTGGTTTGTGCTGGCAGGCTGCCAAGAACTGACAGAATGGTCAGGCAGAACTACATTTTGTATCACACTGACTTTTCTATTTGTTTCCATTAATACATTTGTTATAGTGAAGCTACTGACTCCAAACTACTGGCAGGAACATCTTGTCCGTCTCACAAAAGCAGACTTTGCACCGTACATGTATTACAGGATTTTTTATTGACAGGTGGAATTCTTGCACCTCTCCTTTTCTTATGTAAACATACCTCAGGGCTTGAAATATTTTTTCTACTTACCTGCACTGGTACAAGTAACATTGAAAATTATCTGCAACAGGCAAATTTTAGGTGTACCAGTGTGGCTCATTCTAAATACTGTTCAAAAACCATTGCCATTATTCTTATACTTCATACTAGATAATGATAATATAGTCAATGCTGCAAATAAAAATTCACATGTATAAAATAAAATAAACCCAGTACATGGACTGATGCAGGTTAGGTACAGGTAGACGTCAGAAATACCTGTACAGTTTCAATTTTACCAACACTAACCTGCATATGCAGGTGGTATTTCAAGCCCTGCACCTACTTTAAAATATTAACAGCCTTTTTCTTTGTCATTCAAGATGTATTCAAAGCAACACAAGCAAATACATTGTTACATTTGTATAACAGAAGTAGAGGTAGCAGCAGACTCAAGCAATCAAGGGGTATTTAACAAAATGAAATTCATCTGGCCTTACTGGTCTTCATAAACAGAGAAGACAGAAGTCAATACAAATATATTCTAGTTCAAACAAGCAGTTCTTGACACGAGTGTGTGTTAAACCTACCATGTCCCAAAGACACAGATGTCAGAAGGTTCTCAGTAACCTAATGCCCTCAGTTCACTGTGGAAGTCAATTCACAGCTGGTGGGTCTATTTTGTACCCATTATTTCCTGCTTGGATGTATTGGATCATCCTTTGGGGAAGACATAAATACATGTACAGCATGTGTACAAGTATGCTGCAGAGGGGTCCCAGTTCCACCCAATGTAAACACATTACATGTATTTGGGTGCTAGCACTAGCCCCACACATACATAGCCTACAAAATGTTTAGACTGAGTTCTGACAGGCAGTACATCATGTGACTTGGCAAGCATTATGTCTAGCCTATAGTCAACACCATGTGTAATGGTGGTATGTTCTCAAAGGGGTGTGCATGTTTCTATCTGTCAGATTCCTTCATGGTACTGGTGAAGGCACGTGGCAATATCAAATATTTGACTATTTATACTGGTCTTAACCCTTAGCACACTGAAGTAGCACCCTGGTAATTAATTGTCTATTGGTTGCAGGGTTAGGCCGCAGAAGGAAGGTTAAAGCCATGTTATGTTTATCATACTGTCTACTGACCAATCACCAGTATTTTGAATCTGGTGCTATTCTGTCTGTTATCATGATACCGAAATTAGCCAGGAAGAGTCACATAGGTAATCATTCCTACTACTACATGTAATGTTCATCATCAGGTGAATTTATCTTAAACGACAATTTTTGTTCATGAATGACTCCCAGCTATGCAGTTTTTACATGCATGTCATATACTTTACCATTATTAGTTACTCTAACTTGGTGAATGATTGTGTACTTGACAATATACAGAAACTGCATGTGGGGAGTTGGAACCAGCCAGGAGCAGCACAGAAGTCACGTCGGAAGGCGGCACCATTGCAGCAGTGGCAGGCAAGGGTTCGTCAGCCTGTACCATGTTTGAATCCCAATTCTTGTCACATCATATACCGCTTTTATGTATTGTTGCATACCAAGTAACCATCCTTGTTCACACATTCACCACCAGGTTCCTGCAATATGAAGTTAAACTACATATTTGTTCTAATTACTAACTTTGTCCCATCACACAAACATAGCTTCCTGGTCCCCCTGACATCGTCAGTGAGAAACAGAGCCTCATCTATACTCACACGTGTACTTTCCATTTGCAGGATACTAAGTACTGTACCAATATGTTTCTCACGCCATTTGTGTAGCTTCATTGTTGTAACCATTACATTTACAATACACTAAAGCTAGCTGTAAACTAACAGCTTTCATTGTGGTCTGCCCATTTCAGGCTTTGAAGTTGTATATTTGGGATGATTTAGACCTTCCTCAATAACATATCACCAGTAAACCTCCCAGCCATCTGTAACTGTAGCTGTCTACATTCATAGTCTGTAGTTATTAATGTACATGTGCATTGTCACCTGTGCCACGTCATCACCAGGTAGTTATGACCTCATTACTGTGTCAAGCCAACTCAACTGGAAAACTTTCACCTCAAGGAACACTGTGACGTCACAATTTCTAACACTCTTTCTAAATTTTTAATAGCCACTGTGTGCCATCATGTCACAATTATACATCATGGACAGTTGAGAGTGAACCAATATGATTTTGAAGTATAGATAATACTTACTAGGCATGTTCATTTACATATAGGTTAAACGTCAATGTGTACATGCATGTGCCCTAAGGAGCCCAAATCTAGATCCTGTCATTGAATGTTTAAACCTTGCAAAGCTTGTGCTAGCCTACAAAAGTTAAATCACTGTTGAAGTGTTTTCTTTCAAACATATACAAGTACTGTATGCAGATACAATGAACTTGACCAATCTGGTAAATTAAATCAGGCACTACAGAACAAAGAAGTGTTGTCAAGCTGTGAAAAATGATACATGTACTACTGCAGGGCTTTAGCCAGCTCGAAATTTTTTACCGTCAACCCCAGGTCAACCCAATTCGCGAAAAAAAATACCGTCAACGCGGAAAAAAAATCCGTCAATGATTACTTTTAAAGAATGTCTTTCACGATCCGGTGATCGACATCACACCCTCCCGCACACTTAATGCATTCGGTGTTCTGAATACCCGTCAAGATTGCAGAATAAAAAAAAAAAACTACACAATCTATGAAAAAAAATCTACAGTTCTCACAAGGAGACAACACGCAATGAACAATCCGCTATTCCCTTTGTTTTGATCCGCTCAAATCCCGCCGCGATTCAAGCCGCGCGGCTTCCCCAGCCAGCTTCGCCATGCGCAAATGAACCTACTCATGACGTCACAGCCTCCGATTTCCACCGAGCCGACCCCGAGCGCTGAACGACAGCGGGCGATGTGGCTCAGATCTCCGACGATTTCCTTATTTAGAGCGTTCGGAAGACTTCGGGTAGCAAACAAAATGGCCGACATGTACATGATTTTACTTCTCAGCTTCGCTTCTCAACCGAAATGAGGAAGTTACAGCTCCTTTGCGGACTTTAGCGGCCATGGAGTTGACTTGGGGAAGCGCTGAGACGCGATTTCGCTACGGCATAGGGGATTTTGCCGCGGAGGGAGTTACGTGGCCGGCAAAAACTCGCGTGTCAGCGATCCGCTCAAGTCTTCGCGCGAAGGAGGTCTGACAAAGTTTTAGATTAAATAAATTTGTGTGGATCAATCTCCGTTTTCTTGCGATAGTATGATTATTCAAGTACAGTACATTTTCAAAACGTTTGATATTTCTTTGTTCGTTGTCACATGTTTATTTATCGTATTGTCATGTACAGTTAGCAGCGTGTGTCTGAGTCGAGCCATTGTTTTATTTTATTCTTATGTGGCCGTTAGCACATGTTGTTTTAACAGACAGCAACATTGAACAATAGAACCGAGTCAACAGACGTCGGCACGGTCCTTGAAATCAGGTTTCCCGCCGCCGTGCGTTTGGAAAAGACGCCGCGCGATTGGAAAAGACGCCGCGCCGTGGCTCATTCAAATTCGCTAGATTTTTTCTATGTCTTTACCCACGATTTTTGACCGTCAATGTTGACGGTAAGGACTAAAATTTTTACCGTCACACGGGACAAATTACCGTCAATTGACGGTAAAACGGGCGCTGGCTAAAGCCCTGTACTACTGTAACCTTGATTGAAAAGGAGGATATTGGAGATGCCCTTTTACCCCCAGCTCCCTAGCTGTTTACTGTTTCTGTACTGGTAAGGGTGGGATTATACTTGAGTAGAGCCTGTACATGCTATTACTAGTATGTGGTTTGGCTCAGTTGTGGTCACAGCAGCCACATTTGGATCCAGTCAAGGTCTCCAGAGCTATGGCCTGGCATGAATCATTGAGTTACACAACTAACCCATTCAATTTTATGAAAAAAAAATGTATCATTTGATAGCGGTATCCTCTCCATGTAAATCACTGTCATTTCTCAGAGAACTCAGAGAACAGGCAATATTAATGACCATGTACAATATGTAGCAATCAATACATTGTAGTCATGATAGAACGTTAGTATAGGATGTTATAAAATGCTGTTTGTATGTAACGTATTTCAGATACCACCTCAAAATGTGCCAGTCCAGCAACAACCAGTACAGCAGCAACAGGGACAGTTACCAGTACAGGGACAGCAGGCTCTACAGGGGCAGCAAGCCCAGGTCCCACGGGTCCAGGCATATAATGCCGTTCCCCAGCAAATGTTACAGCAGAATGCTGCAGCGCAGCCAAAGATTCCCAACCAGCCAAATGCACCCATCCAACCAAATGTACCTGTGCAGCAAAAATTTTGCTGCTGCCAATCCACCAAACATGATTGTCCCTCTAAACAATGCTGGCCAACAAAATGCTCAACTTGGACAGGTTCAGAGTATCAATCAACAGGCAAGGAAAACCATGCAGTACTAGTAATATCTGTTTCTCTTAATAGCACCTTCTTTGGGAATTAAGGATAAACATACAGACATACTAACACCTTCCAGTCTGTATATGTGTGTGTGTGTGTCTGTGCGCGCACATACGCTTGTGTATGTATAAACTATGTATTTGTAATCCGTTCTGTCAAAGTTGTATGATTATGACATGCTTTGCACATTGCACAGAGATATAAACTGTACAGCACTTAACTCTGAAATCAGCAGCTGCTTCTTTGCCATTTGAAAATTGGTACTTGCAAGGTCTATCCACTGCCTAACAGCATACATGTATCTGGCTACACAGTACTGGTTTCTCATTACCACTCTCCCTGCTGATTTTTGTACCAGTGCATGCAAGTACATGCCACAGGGAGAAGGTTAAACCATGTTGTAGACCTGCATGTAGGTGAAAGGTGCTGAGATAACACCTGACTAGGGCATACTTCATGCACTTACTGTGTAACCCTGCTGGGTAGGAGTTCTTATGATATCAGCTGTGGCCAGACTTTATGTTCAATTTCTACACCAGCAGACCAGCACTTAAACAAGCTTACAAACTGACATTGACTGAGAAAATCTACTGAGCTAAGGGTCTTCTGTAGTTGAGTCCAGAAGAAATCCTGTCAGAGAAAATGAATCTCTGTTTGAGGACTAGTTTACTTTCATGCATGTACATTTTGTGACTTGACTGTTATCCAGAGTGTTTTGTTGGTTGGAGTAGACTTTCACACAAATGGTTTGTGTTACATAAGTGTTTGTGATTACATGTGTCTGGAATGTGACCTAACAGTTTTGCAGATGTGCACTTTACAAATCATGTTTTCTTGTCCTCAATGCTAACTAACATACTAACACAGCCCCTTCCTTTGCTTCTTAACACAAATTTTCGTCCTTAGAAGATGTTTGTAATATTCAAGTTTATCTGTACTTCCATGATTGGATTGGTATTACGAAAACAGATATGATCAAATCATGGGGAAGGAGAGGTCACATAACACATTATGTCTGTTTTTGTAATACCAATCCAATTTACGTAATACCCCATAGGGCCAGACAAATGAAATCACTTTTTGACGCCTATATGAAAATATAGTCTGCCCTTGGCAAACTGATGAAAAAGGTTTAGATCCATTTGTGATTTCTGTATGTTTGGATTTTTTTTCTTTTTTTCACAAAACATCCATCCCTCCACATAGGAGCATGCATTATGTTTCACTTTGTATGCATGCATGACGTACAGGACAGTAAGGGATGTTATCCTCTTCATGAAAACGAATACATTCCCACAGCGTCAGCCTAATAAGTTCAAGAACTACAATAGCTTATCTTTGTCCCTTTGCAGTAACGTAATGACAAGAAGTCTCAGTTTTTACATTTGTCTGGCCTGATGATGTCTGGCTTTTTTAAGGATCGACATTTTAGGTTATACATTGCAGTGTCGTAATTCTAAATTTTGTATTTGATACAGTCATACATGTTTGTAGAGAGCAACAGCTTTTGCTAGCCTGGTACCCTCTTGGTTAGTTATGTCCATTCCAACAGTCAAGCAGACATAAACTAACCAGGATGGTACCCAGGCTAAACTTTTGCATGCCATTAAATCAGTGGCGGTCTTGGGCTGCATTTCCTTCTATGTGTTGCTCTATATTCTTGTAGCTTTATGATTACTATTAAGGTGTAAATGTCATCTCAGCTAATGGTGGCTTTCATGTTTCCCATCAGGGAAATAACTTGGATGTTGGTGGTGTTGGTGGGTTTGCTGGTGGTGGTCTGGGTGATGGGGGAGAAGATTTTAGAGATCAAGGTCAACCAGACCTCCAGCCCCTTCCCGGAAAGGTTGCTGACATAATGAAGCGAAACAAAAAACTTGTCCAAAAGGTCCAGGATGTGAAGAATGAGGGAAGGCTGCCGGAGGTGCCCAGGATTCCGCTCAGGGCTCAGAACGACCCGCAGATGAAGGTGAAGTTGGACGGAATCCCGCAGAAGTTAGCGGCACCCGCAGCAGCCAACCAGCGGTCCGGCGGGAAGGGACACATGAGGATCGCAGACAACGTGGCCTGTCAGGAGGACGTCCAGCGACTCTGTGCACACAACGTCAGGACAAACAACTTCGCCATTCTGGACTGCTTACAGAACGACCGACCGGTTAGTACATATACCTTGTTACCTATAAGGTTGTAACCAGTGAGTTTTGTTGTGGCTGTACGTGTATTATATTTGATATATGTGTATTTATGTTAGTCCCTGGTATGATTGGACAACTCTTACATACAGGCATATCAAGAACAGACCATCCTTTAAAGTTTAAGACACATGACAGTGCCATAATGCACATAAAACATTTTGGGTAGCTTTATCCTAAAGCTCAGATAACAGAAGATGCTTGTTAGCATATCATTATGGTTTGGTATTAAAGCAACACTGTCAAGGTCAATACAGTAAGTTTCAAACGATCTTTACAGGCTTAAAAAGCATAACCAACAACATGTGGACTTTTCTTGAATTACATTACATGTTCATCATTGTATAAGTCAAACATACACTGATACACAAAATATTCATCTGAAATCTTATATGTATCCTTGTCTAAGCATCTTGTATTGTGTTATCTGCTCATGCACTTGTAAGGACTGCAGTATGGCTGAGTATCACTGAGGCTGATACTAATCAATATGCAGCTGAGGTAGAGAAACTGATTTATTCTGGTCATTAGTGTTAAGATCAGACAAAGGTTTTCCACAAGTGATCCTCCGGTACATCAGTCTTAATCAGCCTTTCTCCAATTGATCCCAGCAAACTGTTAGTGTAAAAATGTCAGACCCCGGGAAAATGAAGATTGCCACGGAATGTTTTGCATATCAGGCAGGTTGTCACAGGTTGTCAGTGCCCATCCTACAGGCAGTTGCAAGCTTAAGAGGGTTACCTTTAGAGCCACTACAGGGGATTTACTGTGCTCCTCAGCTTTAAGTTCAAGGTCGGCATGTAGTTGATCATTTGGCCACCCCTAACCTTGTCTGGGAATTTGGCACAACAGCTACCAATGTACGTTTGGTAGCAGATGGTCTTTTGGGCAAGAACTGGTGTGCAAGACACTGTAGATACATGTAGATATATTCAAGAGCTACATGTAGTCGACTAAGGGATTTTAAGACCAGGGCTCAGAGTCAGAATAAATACAACCTGTATGTGCAGGTTAATGTAGGGAAATTGTAGTTCTGCAGGACTGGTGTTCTTGATATCTACATACTCTTAACCTGTACCAGCTCTGCACTGTACTGGGTACTTAAACTTTAAAGTTTAACATTTAAATGTTTATGGACTTTTGTTTCTTGTATTGGTAGTTACTACTGTAAATAAGAATGCATGGAAGGATCACAAGAAAACTGCCAAGCTTGCAACAAAAATGTTAAAAACAGCAACCATAAGGATATTGGTCATAAGAATAATATCTTTCTGTAGTGAGCAACACCTTAATGCCTTTCTGTTATGTTAATGACATTGTCATTTAATTCTAATATGTTACTGACATTGTCATTAATACAAATTGATAATTGGATTGAAAGCCGTATGACTCATTTGAAGTGTCTGTCATTGGATATTGGCTATTGGACCCATGAAGATATAGTCTAACCCCTCGTTTTCTAGGAAACCGTTTCTGGCACAGTTTATGGTATTGGAAAACCTGTTTATCCAAATTATACCCCACATAAAGGCAATCATTGCTTTATGGCTTCTTTTACAATCGGACCATCAACTTTCTTGTGTGGCAATTCAGATGATGTTCCCCTGGTGTTGATGAGATTTTCATCGATGGCAAGGAATCTATAGATGCTGCAATCATGCCTTGGAGGAGGTATAGATTTTTCACTTTGGCTCCTCCATTTTGTTGACATATTTGGTGTAGGGTTCACTAAGGATCGATCCTGGCATTCTAATGCTCAATACAAAATGACTGCTGATGTGAACCTCTGGTTGCTAATTAGTCTGATAACCATCTACAGAAATCTATGGGGACGTATCAGTAGTCCCATCCATTGAGCAGCATTTTGTTCCATCTGTTGGATTTTTGTTATCAACAATAAGTGAGCAAAAATTAGTTAATTCTTTAAGTCCGTCACTTGGAAGAAGCATTGTAGTAAGGCAATATGGCACTAAAAATAGGTTCACTATTATGTATGGGACTGCAACATCCTATTATTCATAGATATTAGTGTAAAAGTAAACTGGATCAAAACCATTTTTTTGAGTCTGCAGATGTTGGTCTTTGTTTGTTTGTTTGTTTTTATAACTTGCTGTCTGTAGATGTTTTTTTTGTAGGTCACAAAGTCCATCTTTGAATGTTTCCAGGCCTGATTTCAGATACAATGTACCTAGTTTTCAAATGCAGGATGTGGTAAATTATACATGACTGCACTTAGGTTGAGGATTTCTGTCCCGATACAGTATTACAAGATCATAAAAAGGATATACAATAGGCATCATTTGAATCAAGTGTATGTATATCATAAAGTACATGCATATTTTAGTCCTTGCAGAAAATGATCCAATACCACCATACCACTTTACGGTACAAGCTATCTGAGCAAAATTCCCAGGCAGCAACTCTAGCCTGTGAAAAGCCATTTCTACATTCCTCAGGATGCTGTTGTGGTCATTTCTAAGAACATCTAAGAAATATTGTATGGGCATCATGTGATGCGCAACATCTTACATAGAAGGTTTAGTCACACATTGCAGCCACCTGTCACATGAGCGCTTCATGGGTAGAAATAACTGTGGCTGCCATGTAATATCCTTTATCTTTATAGTCTCCTAGCCACAGTGGCCAGGCTTTTAAACATTGCCTTTTATGTGGCAGATAATGCCACTGGTCTTCATGATTACTCAGGCTTGGAAATTGAAAAAGTGAAAACATATTGCATGCAGTGCTTCTGAATCCTAAGTAGATTTAAGGGCTTTTAGAAAGTAAGCAGCACCCACCATCTGGAAAGGCTAGATTGAAGGAAGTGAATATAGGCTTCAAGGAGATGTACATGTATTCCTTTCCTTTATTCCTTTATTACGATACCCTTTAGCCAAAACTGGCTAGTCTTCCAGGGTTCATACAAAGATCATACAATACAAACAACATATGACATAGTAAACAAGTGCTTCTGCAAAAGCTAACCATTTTCGCCGCTTACAGGCTTACAGTTTTTACGAACTGGTGGATGGTTGAGGAGTATATGGTGGTGGAACGTACCGTAGTGCAATGCATTCTAGCATTTTCCCCATCCTAGCATTTCAATTTACCTAAGTTATATAAATGGTTCTAGTTCTCATCAACATTGTATATAATGAGAGAACATGCACTTCTATATTTCAACTCTTTAAGTTTAAAACATTACAAAAATCAAGTATATAACAGTTTATAACCTGTTTTCTCTCTTTTAAGAGTCTTTTTAACAGAATAAAAAAATGAGACACAAAAGTACATTTTAACTTAAATTATAAGTAACGTTAATATATAATATATATATAATTTTATTCAAAATCTCTTCTATGGCTTTGTCCCCAACATCTAAGCTTACAAACCTCGTGACATTCAACCAGGGCTTTAGCCAGCGCCCGTTTTACCGTCAATTGACGGTATTTTTCCCGTCGGACGGT